TATCTGAAAGGAACATTAAAGGTGCTTTAGAATAATTTTTACGGTTAAACTTAAGAAAAAGAAAAATTACCCAAACTCAAAAACAAGACTCAAGATAAGAATTAAAATTGCCAGCTCGAAAGAATACTGTATAAATATCAAGAACTAATGGAATCATATTATCTAGCAGGTCTTTAAGTATCAAGTATTCTGGATTTTTGCACATATAACCGAATTTTATTTCAACCATTTTTGCAATTTTTTGCCACGTACTACGAGAAAGTTTCAACAATAAGTTGATATGCTACGGCTTCAGTTTTTGAGCAAAGTTTTTCTTTTTGTTGAATATATATTTGTATAGCAAAAAAAAATGGTTGATATTGTAAAAAGATTAATTCATGACTGTTCAATGAGATGTGTAGGGAACCTATTATTGGAAGAAAAGACAAAACTTTCAGTAATTCCAGAAGAGCTACCGTGAACAAGATATCGGGATATAGCTGTTTTTAAATGTATTTGACCGGGCCAATCGGCGATGACTGGGATAACGTTGCCATCTTCAATATATTTATTTATTGCTGGAATGGATGCAGCAATATTAATGGCTGTAATATAAGCTTCCATTGTACAAAAATTGCTTTCAAAAAGATCCACAAGCACGGTGCCTTTTAGCGATCTTGAACTCCTTTTTTCTTTTAAATAAACATCATAACTATGGACCGTCAATTCTTTAAGCTTGGTTTCATCATCCACAGAGCGAAAACCCCTAACATCAGTTATAAGAAAGTGAATATACTGGCATAAACTAATTTTCAATACTGGTTATGACTAATTGAGAATTAACTAATGTGAAGTTGTGGATTTCTTATCTTGGTATTGCTGGTTGGGTCTTGATCGGATTAAGTAAAATGGTAGCGAGATGTACTGAAGCAGACGTCATGATCGTGGTAGGCATTTTTATAGTATGAATACTATGATAATCATCGATATTTAAAAGTAGTGCATTATTAGAACTATCTTCAAGACTAGTTTCCATGGTTGTCGAATGCATTTGAGACACCGATTCCTTATGATAAGAAATTGAACAGGATGTTAATGTTAAGCCCATTGTCACTAAGGTGTCTACCGTGGAGTTAGGTGTTCCCGTAAAATCTAAATACATTCCTAGATCTCTTTTTGCATTATTAACAAACTTATTTCTAATACCACAAATAAAATAACACAAAAATACTAATTGCTTTGATACTTTTTCCATAGTACTTACACTTTTTCTTCGCGGGTTGGTCGATAAATATAGTTCATTGAAGAAAGACTTTACCTGTTGATCTTTTGATTCAATAACTGCGTGAAATTCTTCAAATTTCCAAATTGTTGGCAGTTTATTATGCTCTCTTTCATAAAGAACATCTGTAATTATTTCTACAGCCTGTGAAAAAGTTAAATTATCAGTAAAAATATCTATAGGTGTTTCTTTAGAGATTTCTGGCACATTATGACAAGATTGTTCTAATGCATGTTGCTGAAATTCGACTGCACTTCTTGTTACAATTCCGTTATAGCAATTTAAGCAAATCGTATCACCTAGTTGAACATAATTTGGAAAAGTTTTGTTAGTTTGACCTTTAGAAATAACGTTTTCAGTTACTGCTCTCCAGTTTGTTGACCATCTTTTGCAAATAGTAATCACACAAGGTCCCGTAATGTTACTAGTAAAAGGCATTTTTGTCTTCTAAGCAAAGTATACGAGGAGTATGATCTTTTTTTGATTCTTTTGCACAGTGAATCTTGGCACTATTCTAAAGCTATAAATGGTCTTTGTGACGATTTTTTATTAGTAAAACGTTGTGTTACGAAAAAGTACTTTAAAGTGTATAAATAATTTACCCGGGCAATTTATTTGCATTAGCGAACTTCTTCCTTTGATGGGTGGCCCATCAGATGATCTGGGTAGACTAATGGGTATTCTCAGCCAATTGCTGATGTTTGTTTACATCAGATAAAATAGGATTGTTAAAGTTTAATACATCCTATTTTACCCGATGCAAACAAACATCAGTAATTGGCTAGTAATACATAGCAGTCTACCCTGATCAGCCCGATGGGCCACCCAGGTTGAATGGGTCGAAACATTAATTACGATCACAATTGCTAAAGCCAGCCAATTAATTATGATCTAAGTTTGTGTCAAATTGATTGGCCGGTTTTAGCAATCACAATAATAATCACATTCATTTAATTATAAAAAACAATTAATAAAGGTCAACCAATTTTAATTGTTTGTAAACTAAGCGTCTATTAAGTAAATGTCAATCAAAATAATATGAATCTGAATAAGAGTATTTTCAAACATTAATCTAGATGCTATTTTATGGTAATTGAAATAGTGCACAAGTATTATAACGCAATTTTAGCTATTTGTTATAATATTTGAATTATATGAATTATGCAATTTCAACAATAAATCAAATAAAGATCTCAAATTACTGCTTAAGAGGATTTTAAATAGTTTATCAAAAATTTAACAATAAATGAGGTTGAATCAATAGAAATTAACTAAATGATTAAAATAAACCATTAGAGTTCATAAATATTTACAATTAAATTTTTATTCTCATTAATTTATTACATGGTATCAAAAATATTAATATATACAGCATTATTAATTTTATTATAATGTATTTACATTAAGTACATAAAGAATATTTATATATAAGAATTTAAAATATACTATTCGACTTCACGAATATTATAACCATAATTATTTTAGAATGTGAGATAAAGAATAATTATTAATTAGAACCATTCAATTTTACGAATATGTCTATAAAATTGGGTACGTATCACTTTGTAGAAGTTTATTTCACAGACACCTTGTTTCACAGATAATCAATTCCAAGACAAGTTTATTTTAAAGACAATTAATTTACAGGCAGTTCATTTTATAGACAGTTCATTTTATAGACAGTTCATTTTATAGACATTTCATTTTGTAGACAATATTTAACACAGATTCAGAAGTATTTGCTATTAAAGTTTATCTACGAAATGATACGTACCCTTATATAGTTTTACTTTATTCAGTGTAGTCTGAGAATATTAAGAAGCTTTATTAATTTGCTCTCGTTAACTGGTTAGTGAGCATAAATAAAGTGAAATGACTAATAAAGAAATTTGATTTAACTAGTAAAGACTAGTAAAGAATCCTGATTACAGAAAAATATAGTATTAGACATAATTTGGACATAATAATATAATGTACGGATATCCATAGGGTTTGTCGTTATCCGCAACGCAAAAAAATTGACAGTTATATAGGACACAGTTTTTACAAAATGGATAACCAGATATTCGGGTCCAAGCTTTATCATCAACATAGATGGGTTTAAATGGCTTAATTATTTAGATAGTTGAGCGTAAGGCGTCCAAAAGAGTGTATGAATATGGAATTTAATATAATTGTAATGCAGCTGGCTTTTTCGTTAAGGTTGCTATTCACATGGGTATTACACAGGTAATCTTAATTAGTTCGGGTTTATTCGGGTTAATAATCAGTATAAACCCGAAGATTACTTGCGTAATATGTACCAATATGAAGAACAACCTTAACGAAAAAAACCAGCTGCATTACAATTATATTAAATTCCATATTCTCACACTCTCTTGGAAGCCTTACACTCAACTATCTAAATAATTAACCGTTAATAAACCAGGTAAACCCATCTATGTTGATGTTCTGGAGTTAAAAATCGGTGAAAAGAATCAGAAGCTTCTCCCCAGGCCACAACAACGTACATAATTTCAAAATAAAGTTTACATAGTAATGCATAAATCTAACTATGGAATTAAAAGCCGTCGAACTTAATAATTCTTATAAGGCCAGACCAATTTAATTCGGCGGTTTACATTACCCCCCCCTCCTCCAACCCTCCCCCTCACTATATGTGCGGAAAATTTCGGAAACCTTTATAATATTACGGATTATTTCGGAGAAAATTTTTATAGTAAATTTCCCTTCCCCCCTTTTGCGAGAAGGATGTAATGTAAACCACTGAATTAAATTGGTCTCGCCTAAATACAACCCAAATACGATAAAAAATTCTGTGCATGCGAAGATAGTTCTGATAATCTGCACGCGTGAAACTTTATAGCGCATATACCGATACAGTATTATTAAAATCTTTGACGAAAATTCTTTCCGTTTTAAACAAAAAGGAAATGTGGCGGATCACGAGCCAAAGCACAGCCAATTAATAGATGATTCATGCTGATATTGGTAACAATCTACAACATACCATGTTACCCTTGCTGATTTGACCCCCGTTTAACTATTATATCACGGTTACGGATCACGGGTTACTGCGCCGAATGTGCCGTATGTACCGAATGTGCCACATGTGCCGATTGTATGGCATGTTCCAGTTATTAAAAGGAAAATAGGTTGGGAAAGGGACAGAGGAGGTATTAGTAGTATAAGGGTTATTAGGGGCATTTGTGGCGGATAGGACATTAATAGCCCAAGGGCCATATGTTGTTATTAGTATGTGTTTTATTATATAAACGGGCGAGATTCGCTCCACTTTGTAGACATGCTTGTCATAGCATTTGGTTATTAATACATATTTTAATAAAGGAACTCTTTATTTGACTCTATAAAACCACATCACGTATTCTTTCGTATTTGTCAAATCACTATCTATAAACCCTCTCGCTTGTTCATATACTTACAACTATAATAAACCACCGTACGGTTTTTGTGTCTCCGTGCTCACGTGACTCCCTGTTATTAGTTGAACCGTTAGCCTCATTTCGGAGAGGTATTTGCAGGTTAACACCGGCAAAAAAAATTGACTCCTATATATTAAGTCGTTATTCGACATTTTTCTTTTAATTACTCGCCAACTATTCATCAATTATTAATATTTAAATGTCTTTTCTTAAATTTCCAGTTCAAAAATTCAATCAATATTTTATTTTCTGTCTTATTATCATCACCATTATTTTGACAAAATATTCATTCTTTGATGGAAATGTGAAAAATAACGATCAATGATTTGACTCAAATTTTATTAAATATAGTTTTCAAGATGTGGGAAACAAAATTGAACCACGACGACTTCCTCCTACTAAGTTCAAATCATATATTTACCCTTTTGGTGTAAATGAAAACTTAACAACTCCAACATTGACTATTAAATCTATAAGAAAACTTATGGATTATGAACATAAATTGGTTAATTATGAAGAAAATTCACCATATGAAGTAGAAATAGGAGAGGAAATTGAGTATGGAAATGGCGTTTCTCATTTAATTTGGTTTTACGCTAACGCAGACTATGAAGATAAAAGACCTGCTACGTGGATCCCAAATACTCCTGTAGTATATTACTTCCTTAGCAATTTAGAAAAAAAAATTAAAATACCTTTACTAAATAAAGTGTTGGTAAATGATCACGAAACTTATTCAGTAAAAGGTACTAAAGACGTTTTGCAAACTATCAAAAATGAAAAATCTAATCCAGACTCGGTGGGAAAAGCACAAAGAATCGAAAATGATTCATCCTCTCATGCTACCTCTCATGCTACCGTCACTATTCTTCTTCTTGTTATTCTTATAATTATTGTTTATTATTATTATCATCCCTGTTATTATTGTATCCATATTTAGTTCATTGTTAGATCTATAGTTTAATCTTTTCATATTTATTGTTTACCGAGTTAACGCATTAAAAAAGCTCGATTAAGCTGTGAACCCTAAATTTGCTTTTTTTGCTTTTGCGCTCATGTTTATGTTTTGATTCTGGATTACTTATAGTGAATAATTACTAAAAAAGGTTATTCTTCGTTTTATTATACTCTAAAGCTCTTGTTTTTGCACTTGCTCTTTAGCTCTTGCAGCGCTGGGTCATTGCTTACCTTGCTCTTATAACTATTCATATATTTGGTGCTATTTTGTCAACAACAAATATTTGATTTGGTATAAATTCTGTTAGACGATTTGATTTTTTGATCTTTTACTTTTTATTTTCGGAATTTTTACCGCCCAGATGATTTGATAGTCATTAAAATTAAAAACATTTTTCGATATTCATATTCGCTAAACCAATCACTTAGGCAGTTCGAAGTTGATTCTTCGGTTAACATCATCCCCCTCCCTCCGCTGGAGTCTCCCCCAATAAACGAACAACCAATAAAAACGCTGGATAACTTTCGCCAATTACTTGATTTACGTCGACCAATCAAATTGGCCCATTTTTATATGTTCGTTTCATTTTACCCCCTCCCCCCTCCCTCTCCTAAGAGTTCTAAAAGTGATGTTAACCGAAGAATTAACTTCGAACGGCCTTACTACCTATTTTAATTTATTGTAAAATTTATTTGTACAGTACTATACATATATTCTGTTTTCGGATATTTATTACTTATTAGATCATTATTATATTTTCATTCTTATTCGGATTCATACACTTTTTGTATAGGAACCACTTAAAGTAAAATTTCTTGAATTCATTTCTTTTATGCTGAAAATTAATTTAGATTTAGAATTTGTAAAGAACTTTAACAATAATATAAAGCCTTATATATTTGAAAATTGCATTTTAATAAATCTTATTGAATGAGAATCATGAATTATCATAATAATGCCCTTTTTTTTTAATGATTACCACGTTTCATTATCATATATTGGCAGTTGTTACCAAATCACTTATAAAAAAAATTATTTTACAAAATTTATATATTTCTCTCGACTCAATCATAGATTCATTGACCTTAGAAATTTTTAAAAATTTAATTTAAAATCGTCGACAACATGCCTAATTCTTGCTGCTTTTAATAATTAAATACGATTTCACACCCAACCCGATACCTATGATGACCTGACGGGCATAACACAATTTCGCCGGCAGCCATTCCGCTGAAAAAAATTGACCTAATTTAGCTAGCGTTTGCCTGATTTTTGGTTAGCGTTGGCTAGATGTTGATTTTCAACGAATTTTTCCAGAACCTGACATGACAGTTTCGATTTTGATGATCTTACTACATCGCTAGGTAACATCGATTACTATCTTATGTTATTGTTCATGTGATATGATCATGTAATTTTTTTTGGCTTGATATTTTTGTCATAAAATGACATCATAATTTATGCAAAATATCACACTGAAAAATTTCACGTGC